AAACAATATGATACAATTATGTGAAAAATAGTCAATAAATAAGAAGCAAAACTACAGTTTTATTTTATTCATAACTCCTACCTAGCTAAGTTTTTCCTAATAGTTATTCTTTAAAATCGCACCGAATAAAATGAATTAGTTGTGCTTGTAATATTAATTCACTTCATACTGAGTTTATACTAAATTCATATGTTGACCTATGTTTCATTGAATATTAAACATAACCTCAAAAAAAATTTAGTTTTCCTAATAATTTAAGTTCTCAGAAGTGTCCGTCAATAATCTTTGTTTTTACAGTCATTTACTTACGATTTTGAACCTAGAAAATAATATTTCACGATTGTTGGTTCTTAGGCTAACTATGTATGGACGCTGAACAATGTCCTTTTAAACTCATGATATAGGAATTATGATTTAAATTAACTCGTTAACTTCTTAGTAGCTTCGACGCGCCTCTCCAGGGGGCCAATCGCCTAACGGAAATGCTTTGGAAAACGCTAACGCTTACGATTTTATTTTGTTATTTCTAGACGCCTGAGGTATTCAAATGCCTCGCGCTCTTTCTTTTTCTTTTGCATTGGTGATGACAATATTAAAAAAAATGAGCGTGAGGTATTCGAAAACCTCAGGCGGCTAGAAATAACAATATAAAATCGTAAGCGTTAGCGTTTCCCATAGCATTTCCGTTAGGCGATTGGCCCCCCGGAGTCCGTTGCGCCTAATCCGCCGCTAACTAGGCGTCGCAGAGCGTAATACATTTTGTTTGCATAGGGTCCAATCCACAAGCTCTTGCAACGTAGCAAGTTAGTTATATACCAGTTTGAGTTATTCGTGGTCTATCATAAGTTTGAAAGGTCTGATCCTTCCGGTTAGGGAACAGGAAATTAATTCCGCTGTTAACTCTGTGGAACTTTAGTGTTCAGTGTCGATTACAGATAACCTCTGGAATGTTTCCAGAAAACTGAAGCTATTTATTAACAAGGTACGCTTGAACGGAAAATGTAGGTGTTAATTAAATAACTAGCAAACCAATGAACCAAATGTTCACCAAAAAAAAAAAAAAAGAAAAAAGAAAAAGAAAAAAAATGTATTTAATTAATTGAGAACTTCGGAGATTTTGTGTGGTTTCGTTTGAAATAGAAATCACGTGATTTCTCGAAAACCGGAAGTGCTACGTTACTCACATCCGGTTTGTAGTCTTATCAGACTATTCTTAACTTATAACTTAAACATTCTCTATATCTATCTCTTACGGTTTGGCCGCTGAAACAGCACCACGGACGGACGGACGGACGGACTTGTCTAATAGATAAGAGATGATGCAGTTCCCACTTTTATAAAAATAACTAGCGGCTCGCCCTCGCTTCGCTTCGGTGTAGAGCTGAAGGGTAGACTACAGTTTTTGTTATCAGGCTTGTATTTTATACACAATGACATTCATTTATGATTCTTCTTATACCTGCATGCAAAGTCTCAGCCCGATCGGTTTAAAATTGACAAAGTTTCATACAAAGTTTCATTCCCTATTTTATCCCCTTGGGGGTAGAATTGATCAAAATCCTTTCTTAGCGGATGCCAACGTCATAACATCTACTTGCATGCCAAATTTCAGCCCGATCCGTCCAGTGGTTTGGGCTGTGCGTTGATAGATCACTATGTCAGTCAGTCAGTCACCTTTGAGTTTTATATATATAGATAATAGACTTGGTAGATAAGGTACTTTTTTTTACCTTTACAGATGACATTTACAGCGTCACCGGATTTGGGGACGGCGAGATTTTAATTGCCGAGTGCCTCTAGAGGTCTTCCAGGCGGATGGCATCTCCCCACGGGGGGAGTCTCCTCTCCGTCTGGAGCCTCTAGGCCACTCGAACCTGCGGGGGTCGGCTCAACTAGAGGGCGTCTCTGAAACTCGGACCTCGGCTCTAGTCTACGACTACGGCTAAAGTCGTGGGGAAAAATGCCCAGGTACGTACATGGTCTACACACGAGACCGGGTCTTCACACTCTTATCCTACGGTTGCGGTGTCTGCCTAATGCTAAGTTAGAGTGCAAGTTTTGTGTAGTGTTGGTGTCTGTGGCCTGTGTGGGAGGAGTTGGAGGCGAGATAAGGTGCTAGTAACCTGTGTTACCAACCCTTACCAAAATTTTCCCCTAAGTATTTTTTAAATTCCCCTAAAATCCCCTAAATATAGAATTTTATATGTACCTACTTGTTATCTAAATTCTTTCGTTGCTCATAAATTGAAACGTTACATGTTTAGTTACAGTAAATTATTTTATTGAATGAATGGTGAGACGTGAGTATGACGTAAACGAATGAAAGAACGAAATGTTGTTGATTTATTATTTTATCCATTGGTGATAGGCAAAGAACTTTAGTCTATACAGCCTTAGGAAACAACCCGCCACAGAGCCAGTCCATATTGTTGCGTTCTACGCACAAAACTAAAGGAAAAGTCTCTGTTTTTCGATTTAATTGCAAGTTTGTTTAAAGCCGCTAAAAGAATCTCCAAAAAAGTCCATTTTAACACTTCTAGCCCCTAAATCTGGGGGCAAAACCCCTAAGTTGGGAACCGTGCTAGTAACATAGATACGTGGCTCGCTTAAAGACTTAAAACCAGAGGACAGCTAACTTTGCGTTTGGACTTTACCACCACTTAACATCAGGTCGGGTAGTCATTCGCCTATAATAGCCTTAGTGACACCCACATAAAATTGACAAGAGAGAAATCGATGCCGCAGATGGTATTAGCGCATTCTGCATGCGATCGTGAAAGTTAAGCAACTTTCACAACGGCCGGTCATTGGATCATCATCATCTTCATCATCATCAGCCTATTAATGTCCCCACTGCTGGGGCACAGGCCTTCCCTATGGATGGAATAGGGAGATTGGGCCATGACCCACCACGCGGGCCCAGTGCGGATTGGTGGGTGCTAACGACTGCAGATGCATCCGGGACCAACCGCTTAACGTGCCTTCCGAAGCACGGAGGAGCTCGAGATAGTAAATTTTTGGTCACCCATCCAATGACCGACCACTGCGAAAGTTGCTTAACTTCAACGAACGCAGCCGAACGCGCTAACCACTTGCGCCATCGAGCTCCTCGGTCATTGGATGGATGACCAAAAACTTATTTCGGGCTCCTCCGTGATTCTGAAGGAACGTTAACCCATTAGTCCCGGTTGTATATGCAGTCTTTAGCACCTACCAATCCGTACTGGGCCCGCAACCCCGCGTGGTTGGTCAAGGCCCAGTCTTCCAATTTCATCCATAGAGATAAGGCGTGTGCTCCTCCAGTGGAGACATTAATTGGCTGATGATGACGAAGACACGATTTGCGCAGTTTTATTGGATGATTGGATGGAGAACGCTCATTTCATTCATTATATCTTTGCTGTCTTCCTCTCGAGTAGGGTTACCAGATAAAAAAATCAAAAGTCCGGAGAAAAGGCTTGATTTCCATTGAAAAATCCTGAGATTTTTACAGTTTGAGAATTTTCTCTCAAACGTACTTATTTTTTTTTTTTTATAGATAGGTCCGATACATGACTCCACCTCACCTGATGTTAAGTGGAGGTGAAGTCCAGACGCGAAGATAGCTGAAACAGCAGTTCTACCTGCCACACCAGCCATCCTCACCCCGCCGGCCTGCATGTTGCTTCTTCACGCCCCTTTTAAAGGATCCCAGGTTGTAAGAGGGAGGGAACACGTGAGTGATTTAGATAAGTCGTAATATTATCGTTTCTACACATGCTGCTTATACTTTTAATTTGAAGAGCTTAACATGATGGGCGTTTTGTAATCCATAATTAAAGAAAAAACCTTACTTTAAAAGGTATCATCACATATTAAGTATGATAAAACTGATCAAGTATCTACTTGGATAAATAAGTACTCATTTTAACTGTGCAATTTTTATCAAAGGAAGATTATTTTTAGTTTGTTTAAGTTTTTATTAAACAGATCTTTCAAACGCTGTATTTTATTAAATATTCAAAAAATCCTGAGATTATAGAGATTTGCACTGAGAAGAACTGAAGAAGTAATGAACGGGTAGATCTGCTGTTTCAGCTATCTTCGCGTCTGGACTTCACCTTCACTTAACATCAGGTGGGGTGGAGTCATTTGTCGGACCTATCTATTAAAAAAAAATCCAGCCCAAATCCTGAGAAGAGTCCAAAAATCCTGAAATCTCAGGGCAAATCCTGAGATATGGTTACCCTACTCCCGAGGAGCCTAGGTAGATTTTTGCCGAACTCCGTGGTCGAGTGGTTTGTACACCGGGTTTCATGGTGTCGCCGACTCGAGAGGTCCTCGAGAGGACTCGATTCCCGGTGGGGGCAGATGTTTGTGTAATGAATACGAGCATTTGTATTCCAGTCATGAATGTTTAATATTATTAATCATAATCATTTATTTCGTAATAAATTACACGTCAATAATAAACAGAACAGAAATACATAAAGTACTAAGTAATCATTCAATTAACTCAAAATGTCAAAATACAATTCACATGTCGATTTCAAATTATGTAAAAGTACATTAGATTACATTATTATGTATTTCTATATAAATATACTAATATGTGTACTGTATATTATGTATTCTCTGCGTTACCCTAGCATCCCATAACATAAGCCTTACAGTGCTTACTTTGGGGCTAGGCTAATTGGTGTAAGTGTTGGAAATATTTCTTTATTTATTTTTTCATTCACTAAAGGAAGTTTTGGCTAGAGTCTTCGATTTGAGAAATCCGTTGTGCCTTACCTCTCATTAGCTTGTTTTCATCATCAGCCTATTAATGTCCTCACTGCTGGGGCACAGGCCTTCCCTATGGATGGAATAGGGAGATTGGGCCATGACCCACCTCGCGGGCCCAGGATTGGTGGGTGCTACTTATAATAATTGAGGAACAATATATTAATTATAATGATGTATTAAAACAGATTGAACAGAAACAAATGTTTATAAATGATAATAAAATCGGTATTTTTTCAATTAACGAAGGCGAAAGATACATCCATCGCGATGCCGCAGGCGTTGCGCCCGCGCACCAAATAGTAGTATCCGCTGTCTCCCCACCCAGTGCCCCATGAGTTCTTGATTATCCAATAGGGAGTTATTTTTCCAGTATCAGGTGACACTGCAACACAAAAAAAGATTTAAGCAATAAATTAATTTATAAAAAAAATGCGCAGAAGTTTCTCCAGTTCTGACTTCTGCCTGACGTGTTGCTTGGTCACGTCTGCGCTGTTCAGTATCATAAGTAGATTCTTGCTGTCTTGCAATTTTCATAGATGAAGCTCTTTGTGAGCTCTGTGAACGATTTGGTTTACAATTGTGAGTCATAATTAGATACACAAAAAAATTATAACAATATCGTTGTCCTAGAAATATGTATGAAATATTAATCTATCAAAATAGCTTTGACATGAATGTCAAAAAATATGTACCTACTTAAACAAAATTCATTTGCATCGATTTTCCCATCGAAATAAGATATTTTCCTGCAGTAAAATGTAGCCTATGTGTTAATCCAGGCTATCAGCTAACTCCACACCAAATTTTATTAAAATCGTTCCAGCCGTTTATACGTGAAGAAGTAACAAACCTACACACTCACATACACACAAACTTTCGCCTTTATAATATTAGTGTGATGGTAAGCGCAATACTCCAAAAGACCAATTTGGCTGATTTTGTTCATATTATGTTCCTGGCACACTGCAGTAAAAAATAAAAGGTTTTAAATAAAACAAATCTATCTGATCTTAGGAGCTCGATGGCGCGGGTAGTTAGCCGGTTCGGCTGCGGTCGTTGAAGTTAAGCAACTTTCGCAGTGGTCGGTCATTGGATGGGTGACCAAAAAGTTTAGTCGTTGATCCCGGCTACATCTGCAGTCGTTATCACCCACCAACCCGCACTGGGCCCGCGTGGTGGGTCATGGCCCAATCTCCCTATTCCATCCATAGGGAAGGCCTGTGCCCCACCAGTGCGGACATTAATAGGCTGATGATAATGATGATCTGTTATTGGAATCTCTACTATTAAATCGCTTTCCGCGTCTATTTGTGGATTAAACACTCTTTCGTAGTTTATACAGGGTGTAAAAAAACCTTTAACGAAGTCGAAGGCACGTATTTTCCACATCATGACGATTATTTTTTTGTTGTGGACCATACCTGGAAAATTTATGGTTATGGAGATATTGAAGGTCAAACCCAAAATTTTTTTTTCAAGATTTACACATTATAATTTTCAAAACGTTATTTAGAAACTTTTTTATCGTCGCACTTACACACACGCACACACATCTACACAGGCACATTCTTTGCGTAGCGCCACAGTAGCGGGACCGCGCTATCCATTGCGTACTGGAAACACAAATGTATTTTTTTAACTTAAAAATTCAAATTTTTCCCCACGTATAATATTTTGTAATATTACTTGTACATAATACGTAGTTTTAGTCTTTGTCATAGGTTTTTTTACACCCTGTATGTTAGTGTCATATTTTTATAATTTCAAAATTTGATTTTCTGTTTTTCTTACTTGCCAATGTTTTCTTTTTATATGACGTTATTATTGGAAAACCAAGATATCTTTTTTAAACCTCAGCGAACCAGCCTCTACCAACCGTAACACTGTATTTTTTTTATACATAGGTCTGATAGATGACCCCACCCCACCTGATGTTAAGTGACGGTGAAGTCCAGACGCGAAGATAGCTGATACAGCAATTCTACCGCCCACACCATCCTCACAAAGAAATGAGTCACCAAACTTCTTTGTATGCGTTGAAATAGTGACCACAGTTAGTCGGTGGCAACGTATGCCAGCGCGCGTGGTCCTCTGAAGGAAAGGGGAAGGTGGAATAAGAGAGAATGACTCCTCAGAACTCTCGCCATGGTACAGACGATAGAACGCGCTTAGTGACGCCACGTCACGACGTAATTGAAGAGGCTCAAGGTGTTTAGTCACCTCCTCATCGCCTATGATGCGGATCGCGCGCCGCTGTAACCTATCCAAAGCATCGAGCAAGTACTTGGCGGAGCGGATTTTAGTGTGTAAGTTAAGATGTAAGGGCAAGTTTGAAAATGTTCGTAAACTTCTCACCATAAATTGAATAAAACTATTTCTCTGATTATATTTTTCATTTTTTAAGCATGTAACTGCTTGATGTTTAAATCTTAAGAAAATATAACTGGAAAAAATTCCAGGCAAAAGACGGGACTCGAACCCGCATCCTTCGCTATCCGGGCGAATGCACTGACCAATTATGCTACCGCGGCCCTGATGGCCGTGTCGAAATTCCTCTAGCCATTCATAAGTAATGTAACCCATAATGTCAAATGAATACTTTTACAAGTATTAAACATTTGGAAGAGGAAATAGCAATTATATTTATAATTTATATTTTTTAAGCAAAGTAACTGCTTGATGTTTAAATCTAAAGAAAATATAACTGGAAAAAAATCCACGCGGCCCAGGCAGCAGACGGGACTCGAACCCGCACCCTTCGCAATCCGGGCGAATGCACTGACCAATTATGCTGCCTGGTCCGCGTGGATTTTTTTCTAGTTATATTTTCTTTATTTCTTTGATATTTCAATAGGCTTGATGACTATCTATTTTTTGTTAGTTCATCAGGTAGATTATCAAACAAGCCACGTATTTTTTTCTTTTCTCACATAATGTAAACATTACAGAGATATTTTGATTTGAAATGTGGTATGACGTTACGTCTTGCTACAATTTTGTACTTAAAAGCTTAGATTAAAACAAAAAGGGTAGATACGTTACGCTCATACTTGCATCAAACAAAAACTGATCCCGAATGGGACGGCGAAACCCGCGTCACTGCATTACCGACCCGAACGAAACAGCACGTAAAGTTTCAACGGCAGCGCGAACGGGACGGCGAGACCCGCGTCACTGCATTACCGACCCGAACGAAACAGCACGTTAAGTTTCAACGGCAGCGCGAACGGGACGGCGAGACCCGCGTCACTGCATTACCGACCCGAACGAAACAGCACGTTAAGTTTCAACGGCAGCGTGAACGGGACGGCGAGACCCGCGTCACTGCACTACCGACCAATCACGCGACCAGTACTCGACGTCACTACCGAATAAGATTCAAAAGAAACAGCAATTTTTATGAAAAAATATAATTTATAGTACTTACGAATGAAAAGTGATGCCGTGGGTTTTATTTTTAGTTCTTGAGCAATGTGAGCTCTTTTTAAAAACACACTTAGGCATTTTTTTATCATATAAACAAAATATTAGCAATATTTCTTTTTGGCGTTCACATGTACGTCGTTTGCATTTCAAGTTGTGACTAAAGCGATTAGGATCGTGGACCACAATTTATGCGGATCACTTTTGTGAGGCTAGTTGTAGATGGAATAGGGCGATTGGGCCATGACCCACCACGCGGGCCCAGTGCGGATTGGTGTGTACTAATGACTGCAGATGCAGCCGGGACCAACGGCTTAACGTGCCATCCGAAGCACGGACGAGCTGAAGATAGTAAATTTTTGGTCACCCATGCAATGACCGACCGCTGCGAAAGTTGCTTAACTTCAACGATCGCAGCCGATCGTGGTAACCACTTACGCCATCGAGTTTTTTATTTTTTATTTTTATTTTAGAAAACACTCACACCTAGCCCCAAGCTAAGCACTATAAAGCTTGTGTTATGGGATACTAGGGTAACGGATAGAATACATATACTGTAAATATATAAGTATATTTATATAGAAAATACATATTAAACATCCATGACTGGAGTACAGATGCTCGTATTCATCACACAAACATCTACCCCCACGGGATTCGAACCCGGGACCTCTCGAGTCAGCGACACCATGAAACCCGGCGTACAAACCACTCGGCCACGGAGGTCGTCATATAAACTTAGTAAAAAAGTTTATAACTATACTTATAAACACATACCACATTCTTACCGTATTGGCTGTAACCCACTATTAGTACAGCATGATCGAGCTCATTCGGGCTGCAGTTCTCATCTGTGGGTTCGTCGATACCATGGGTGTACGTATCCATTGATTTTGAATTAATAGCTGTAATAAAAATAGATATATGCTATCCTGGACTTTTTTGTAGAACTTTAAAAGAGATACAATTCCTCCATACATTATATTCATGTAACTTTTATTGTTTTTGCAGTGCAGATCAAAATGGCTCGCAGATGGGAGATTTTTTCCGTCTCACGTGACACTTATTGTTATATTTTGGCCAATTCACCAAATAACAACATAAATTATAATCTATATGCTATTATTATGTATGAGCTTTATTATTGGTCAGTTTGATTAAAATACATTTAGTATTTTTTGAGTGAAAGAAAGATCCATACAAACGTAAGATTGAAATTTTATTAAAAGCGCAAGTGGTTAATATACAACTTTAAATCGTTGTAGATCCTAAACTATCATATGAAATGAAAAATAGTGTAGGGGACCTAAACATGATTTTAGATTATCTAGACAATGATACCCCACTCAACATATTTCGGCAACTTATGTTTTTTCCTTGCTCACAATATGGCGCCCAGTTGTCTCTATATTGATTTTTGATTATTATCATATCTTTAGTAGCACTCCCATGATTAAGACGAATCGATTGATGTATAAATCATCAAAATCGGTCCATGCGTTTGGTCTCTAGTGTGCCACAAAGGAACAAATATACATAATATAGACTGTTAAACACATAACCCTGTCTGCACGTCGCGCTTCGCGCTCTTGCATTGCGCAGTCGGGTAAAAAAAAAAGCTGTTAGTAGGACTTCATATCAGAAGTAAACACGTATTAGACGATATACTAGTAGGCTGGCCGCGACTTCTGGGATGATGGGTAAATTGGTTTACATATAAACTTCCATCCCCTTTTCACCTCCTTAAACGATGATTTCAGTGATAAATATAATTATAAATAAATAAATATTTCCAACACTCACACCAATTAGCCTAGCCCCAAAGTAAGCACTGTAAGGCTTGTGTTATGGGATACTAGGGTAACGGATAGAATACATATACAGTACATATATAAGTATATTTATATAGAAATACATATTAAACATCCATGACTCGAGTACAAATATAAGATACACAAAAAAATTATAACAATATCGTTGTCCTAGAAATATGTATGAAATATTAATCTATCAAAATAGCTTTGACATAAATGTCAAAAAATATGTACCTACTTAAGAGCCCTTTTACAAAATTGCGCCTCTCTTGTTTAGGTAAATACGGGCGCGAGCGTGTCCGAGTTGCACGAGCGAGACATCGACGCGGCGATGTTCAGTATAGCGCGCTTTACCAAATTGATACTTTAATATGCAATTATTGATTATACAATAAATGCCATTATAAAATAAAGTTAATTTGAAGTGCTAAGATGGATCCCTACTGTGGCAACGAACGATTCTAGATAGGAATCCTGAGTTGAGCAAAGGATACAAGGATTAAGTTTTTTTACTATTGTGAGAAAATAAATAATATATTTATAGTACCCATTGGTTGTGTTTTGGAAATGACAATAAAGATTAATTATGATTATTACTAATTATTGTAACTTTATATGTATGCTTTGCATAACTTCTGTTTGTTCAAATTTTTTTTTATTCACTCAGTAATTAAATGAAAAGTTTGTTCACTGTTATCACTGAATGAAATCCCTTTTTCGAGTGGCAATGAGAAATAATATTTTATTTACTTGTGTTTTTAGTGTTGACTTTTTTAATGATGATTGATGTTTGGTAATAATCAAATATCTCAGTAAAACTGTACTAAGTGTAGTTTTGTCTTTGCCTTCATAGTTCATTTAATAAACAGATATAGGCAATACTGGAAATACATTTCCAATCCAGACACAGATATGGTACGAAAATCAGCAAGTTACTGTCAATTGAACTTGTGGAGCAAAGAAGTCTAATATAAAATATTAAAAATAAACTTTTTTTGCTCTAGAAATGCATCCCATTAGTTTGAGTTTAAAACAAAAAACCAAACTGCTAACATTGTAAACTATGTACCTAGTGTAGTAGTGAAATACCCATTAAGTCAGTATAAAACTGTTACACTGTTGTCTTAGGTGAATTATTATATGCGCTGAGTTCAATTGGAGCGTAGAAGAATGAAATAAATAAAATCCAAACTAAATAGATAAAATTTGCTTGTATTGCTTTCTAAGTACAAATTGACAAGAAGGAAAACAAAGGAAGAAAGGAAAAAATATGCATCATAATATTCATAGAGTGAAAACTAATAAACTTAAAACTTATTTGTTTGGTGTTACCAACATGCTGGGGGCGCAGACCTTAACTAAGTTTATTATTATATTCAATCATACATAAAAAGAGCTAACCGCCTTTATCTTGATAATAACATTAACATGCTGATAGGACACAATTATTAAACAACATTTTGAAATTAACATTAAACTTAAAACATTTCAGTAAATTATTAAAAATTAGTTTTTTCACAAGCCTCATTTAAGTATGCAAATATTATTAATATTTTGTAGATAAATCTCAAATAAATCTTAAGTAAAATTAAAACATTACATTATTAACTAAAAAACTGCTCACATCATCAACCTATTGGTAGCACACTTATACTAGCCAATGAACGCTTATAAACTTTTCTATTAGATGTCATTACATCAACAACACGAATTTTTCCATCCTTACCGGGATATACATTCACAATTCTGGCCATGGGCCATGCTAGGGGGGGAGAGTTGGGTTCCCTTAATATTACTAAAGACCCTACCTTTACATTTGGAAGACTATCGCGCCATTTCGGTCTTGACTGCAATATATTTAAATAATATCTATGCCAAACATTCCAAAAATGATTTCGAACCTTATTGCAAACTTGCCAAAACTTTAGTCTATTAGTAGGCACGTCTATTAAGTCTCTCTCAGGAAAGGAAGTTAATGCTGTCCCTATTATGAAATGTCCTGGAGTTAAATAGCTAAAGTCATTAACATCATCAACAGTTACAGGCAACAAAGGTCTAGAATTAAGAACACCTTCAATTTGACATAGGATGGTGTTGATTTGTTCATATGTTAAAATATAATTCTGAATTATTCTCTTTAAATGGAATTTCATGCTTTTAACTGCAGCCTCAGCTAAACCAGCAAATACTGGTGCATAACTGGGAACAAAATGAAAATTAATACCTAGTTCTACAGTATATGTTTGAATAAGCATTTGGTGTTCCAGTGATTTTTGTAACTGATATAATTTATTTAATTCATTACTGGCACCTTTAAAATTACTGCCATTATCACAGAAAACATCTGTAGGTAATCCTCTACGTGCTACAAAGCGTTTGAAACATGCTAAGAAACAATCTGACCTCATATCTGATGAAAGCTCGAGGTGTATAGCTTTTGTTGTGAAACACACAAAAACACAAATATATCCCTTTGTTTCAATAGCTCGTCTTACACGCGAGTTTTTAACTGGTATGGGACCTGCATAATCTATTCCCACATTTTGAAACGGCCGAGCAGCTATTACCCTTTGAGATGGTAATGAACCCATAAGTTGCTTTGCACATTGAGCTTTCATCCTGAAACATATAGAACATTTATAAACAATCTTTTTTACATGCCTATAACCATTCACTAACCAATATTTTTGATTAAGACTGGAAAGTAGTAATTTTGGAGCAGCATGCAATAATCTAAGATGCTCACGAGCAATAATCATTTCCGTAATTCGAGATTGTTTAGGCAAAACAATGGGATGCTTTTGAGAAAAAGCAACATTGGAATGCTCTATTCTACCGCCAACCCTTAAAATATTTTCACTATCAAGAAAGACATGAAGAGGTTTTAAAGGCCCTCTAACATTTTCTTCGCTAGACATTAAAGAGTTTATTTCTTGCTTAAAGTAAATACTCTGTTCATGCTCTATAATTTTATTCAATGCCTTTTGCAACTCAGGAAAAGTTAAAAAAATATGAGAAATGCGTAAATTTTTGTGCTTTAAATTATGGCAAAATCTAAGTATGTACGCCATTAACCTTATTATTTTATTTAAATCTGAAATATTGTCAATAAATGTAAAGAAACTATCATCCTTTTGAGTTACTAATGAAATCTTTGTATTTGATAATGTAACTTCTTTCTTTATCTCAGGTATAGTTGAGATATCAGGTAAACGATAAATATTAATAAAGGAATACTCACTATTGTGCAGGAAGGCTGGACCTTTCCACCACATTTGACAGTTAACTAACTCCTCAGGGTCAGTTCCTCTGCTTACAAAGTCAGCAGGATTTTCTTTACTGCACACATACAACCAATGCCACATAGAAGTGAGTTCCTGTATAACCCTAACCCGATTGCAAACATACGTTTGTAGTTTCAATGGCTCAGTAGCTAGCCACGCGAGAGCAATTTGGGAGTCCGAAAATAAGTAAACGTTATCTATTTTAGTCGCTAGACATAAAATCTCATAAGTTCGTTTTATGAGTTTAGCTAACAAAAGCATCGCGTTCAACTCTAAGCGCGGTATTGTAAGTAAGTTGCTCTTACGTGGATTGACGCGTGATTTGGAACACAGTAAAGAGAGTGATGCTTTACCCGATGCATTGCATATACGAAGGTAAACACAACAACCATAGCCGGTAGTGCTTGAAGCATCGGCAAAGCCAATGAGTTGTATAGCAACAGCACTCTTAGGTATAGTTATATTCCTTTGAATATGCAAAGGCTCCATATTAGATAAAGATTTTGCAAATCCTAACCACTCATTCTTTAAAGTTTCTTGTGGAACATCATCCCAACCTATCTTTTCATCCCACAATCTTTGCATAAACATTTTAGCCCTTATAATAACAGGTGACATAAAACCAAGCGACTCGTAAAACTTAGATATGTAACTTAATATTTGCCTTTTAGTAGGATTATCGAAATCAAAATGCTCTGGGCATGAGAAAATAAAACAATCTTTTTTTATATTAAATGTTATACCTAAAGTCTTTAAATATAAATTATTTTTCTGAAAATCTAACTCATCAAAGTGTTGTTTCTCGAT